AGATGGTGAGACCTTCTATCTGTCCTCTGTGGACAGTAGATGGTGAGACCTTCACTTTGTCCTCTGCAGGTTGGTGCTGATGTCTCTAACAGCTGGGTCAAAGCTCTCATCGTGTTTCTGTCTTCTGCTGCTGGTGTTGTCCTCCGTCTTCCTGTATGACGCCAGAGGTTCCCGTCTCCTTCAGGAAGGTTCAGTTGTTTGGACTGTCCACCATGTGGTCCACTACTCTTGGTCCTTCATCTTAATAATGTTCTCCTCTCAGCTGTGTGTCTGATCCAGATGGAAACACGTTTAAAACGTTGTTTGATGTTTTGCTGTCCAATCCAGATGTTGACAGCAGGACGGGGGCTGGTCCCTTTGGTCCTTTCACAGAGGACTTCTCTGGACTCTTGAGAGCTGTGATTAAAACTTTATTTAAACCACCAGTTTAACATTTTTCATCCTGGTTTATGTTCTGAACAAGGTGCACAGGAACGTGTAAATACTGTCAAACATTAACGAATATTTGATGAGCGTTCTGATGGTGACAAATCTTTTTAACGTTTAATCTTTTCAATGTGTACAGACGAGGGCAATTTATGTTTCACTGAACAAACGTCTTCAAGACTCTACTACTGAGCTCAAGAGTTATTTACTAGAATTAAGCACAGATTAAGCACAGATTAAGCACAGATTACAAAGATTATTAGAAAATCAGGTAACAAAAAATGTCCGAAAAGTTTCATCAAGCTGCGTTAAAACAATAAATAAAAGAGCCTCTGAGGGTCATAAAACATTAAATGTCTCTGTTGTGGACATTTACTGGGTTCATTCATCTTTGGAGGTTTGTTTCTCAGCAGCTAACATTTTATTTATGTTGAAATATTTTAATGGAATATTTCCACATTAGGACCATTTGGGTACAGCTGTCAGAGCCGTGTTTTCCTGCAGGGTCCCGGGGGTCTCTGTTGCCGACCTCCAGCAGTCATTGAGCGAGAGACGGACCTGCCAGGACCCCAGTCCCTCACAGGACATTTACAGACACGCGCCGTCAAACTGAAGCCTCTGGGTTCAGTTCCAGAGAATCTTTAAAGGGTCAGAGGTCAACAGTCGGTCCTTTTATTTGATTTTGGAGGAAACTTCCCGAAGATTTCCTCTGTGTTTTTATGTAGAACAGTTCTGTTCCTAAAGATTTCAGCCTCCGGCAGACGGCAGCCGCTCTTCCATCAGCAGCAGAAACACCTCAGTCGGTCTTTGGGTCCAACATGTCTGGCCCGTCAGCCTGAAGACTCCAGAAACCTTGATTAGACCCGATTTATGTCAAAGCAGCTCATTTATTAAAAGTTTCACATAATTTGCTTCACCCTTCTAAAATTACAGTTTATAAAGGTCAGTTTGTAGTAAACTTGTACTTTATAATGCTTTTCTGGTTTATTTTTACAGAAATCACACGTTTTAACAGAAACACAACAAAAATAAAAGGAAAACTTTTTTTTTTAAACAAGTACAGAATGTAAAACTATTTTGGTGCCTGTGGTTTAATAAAAGATTTATGGAATTGTTGATGAAAATAAACTTATTTCATTGTTTTGTTTTGTTTGCATGCAGATATTTTGTATTCGAGTCTGACGTGTTCGGGTTTTTGTGTCGGAATAAAGTGGACTGAGCTGAACCTGCTGCTTGTTTTTACAGAACGGAACATTTAAACACATAAACCGTCCGATTTAACTGTGAAGAGTTACTGCACACGCTCATTACCTGTTTAGGCCAGAACTCGTTTAATTCTAGAAAATTCTGCCGAGTTGTGGCTATAAAAGTTTTATTTAGCACACAGTTGGTATTTTATTCGTTTTTATAGTGAAAACTGTCTTGCCTCAGAGGGAGAGTCCTAAAATGAAGTCAAACCAGTAAAAGTGTTTTAAAACTTTACCATTAATCTCTGTGTTGTGTCTGTCTCTTCCATCCTCCATCCATCATCTTGTTCTGGGTTCAGGTCTGGGCCTCCGGGTTGTAACCTCGAGGTGTTCCCAGATCAGCTCAGGGACAAAAGGCTCATTCATGACACTCCGGTCAATTAAGAAAACACACTGAGGTGGGGGGTTGGGGGGGTCAGAGCCAGCCCACCTCTGATGAGTGTGCCTCCTAGTGCGGTAGTAAGAGGGCCGGGCTGGCCAACGTGTAAAATCCATCCATCCATTATCTTTTACCCACTTCTTCCATTTTGGGTCACGGGGTCACCAGTGCCCATGTCCAGCAATCACTGTGTGAGGGGCGGGAACACCCTGGACAGGTCTCCAGTCCATCACAAGGACACATAGAGACAAACAAACATTCACTCTCTCGCTCTCACATAGGGACAATTTAGAGTTATCAATCAGTCTAACATGCATGTTTTTTGTCTGTGGGAGGAAACTGGAGTACCCGGAGAAAACCCACGCATGCACGGAGAGAACATGCAAACTCCACCCAGAAAGGCCCCTGGACCGGGATTTGAACCAGGGACCTGCTCGCTGAGAGGCAGCAGCTCTTCCAGTTGCGTCACCGTGCTGCCCGACGTGTAAAATAAACAAGTAAATTTGTAAACTGGAGCTGTTGCTCAGTGATGACAATAGTGTGTGGCCGCTTGCTTGTGGGATTAAACAACTACCGTATTTTTTGGCCTATAAGTCAAATTTTTTTGCATAATTTGCATGCCCTGCAATTTACGTATTTATGATTTTTTTCCCACATTTATAAACCCATTTTTGGGTGAGATATGACTGTTTTCATTAATTCTGACTGAAAATATTGAACACTACCATTATCAGCCACTAGATGGCACTCGAGTAGTGTGGCATGCCGTTGCGTTATGTAATGGTTAAAAGTTGCCATTATTTACACAATCGACTTGCCATAGCCTGCCACCTTCGTCCAGCTCGTTTGGAGCAACCGTCAAATCAGCTTCATTTTGCTGCGCCGCCCCGGTGAAATGAAGCTGATTTGACCATTAAAGTGCATTTATGAAGGAAACGTTCAACTGAGACACACCTTTACTATAATGTTGAACAAACAAATAATTGTTTTTAGGTGGTTATCTTGTTAAATTCTTGTTAAAGTCCTCCTGTGCATGCTCCCGCAGCTGTCACTTGGCAGCCAATCGATTTTTGGCACAACACCGGCTCATGTTTCCGGGTGGTCAGCGGATGATAGATGCGACGTATACGGCGAAGCGACATATTTATGTTTTTTCCACTTTATTAGACATATTTGGACTGATGCGACTTATACGGCAGTGTGATGTGTACGGTGGAAAATACGGTAACGGTTGATTTTTAATCTCACAAGCGAGTGGCAATACATCGCTAATAAATTTGTTTAGCAGGTCTATTACTGGGGGAATATTAATGATGACGCAGAGACACTTTGTTGTTAGGAAAATAGTTACCCACAAACTTCTTCTTCTTCCTAGAGATGTTCCCTCTTCAGGGGTCATCACAGCGAGTCATCCACTTCCATCTCACTCTGTCCTCTGTGTCCTCTGTCCTCACTTCACCATGTCCTCTCTAACTGCATCCATATGTCTCCTCTTTGTCTTTTTCCTGGCAGCTGCATTTCTAACATCATTCTAATATACACACTGTCCCTCCTCTGGACATGTCCAAACCACTGTCCCTCCTCTGGA